AAGGACTCGGCTGTGCTCTTGAGTATTTATTGTATCTCTGTCTTCCCCATCACCTGTAGGGACTTGCAGAGAAGCAGTGCAGGGCCAAGAACTGATCTCCTATGAACACCATGAGAAGTTGTGCTGTGCCAGGGGAAAAGAGACTTGTCTAAGTTCACTGAAGTGGCCTCATTAAATTCTTCATTTACTGCAGTCTGTCAGCATGCCATTTTCTGCACCCTGCAGAGTTTTAACGCATCAGCGTCTCTGTCCACAAAGCACACAGCCCCATTGCTAAGTACTTCAAGTTAATCCAGCAGGACCACTGGACTATAATGTACAGTTACTCCAGTGATCTCCATTCTGTTCTTAGTCTAGGTTCAAATAATTTATCTTGCCAGGAACAGAAGGTAGCTAAAACTCTGTAATTACTCACTCTCAGTCCTTTCCAATTTAGCCTAATGCTCACATTTCCACCCCTCACCCATACCTTCTGGAACTCTTTCAGCATGCTGATAGTTCAGGGAGACATCTGACAGTGGTTTTCAGGCAGTCCCCTACTATGCTCAGATGGATTTTACCCCAACAGAAAAGCTTTACTCCATTTTATTGGAAACTGTTTTTTAGTTATCTCCATGTACTTGGAAGCAGGTAACATTTCACAAGGTTCATAAGCTAGTACTTTGCCAAGTACAGAGGAGAAATACTGTGTCTGTTATGTCCCATAGCACTATTAATGATGCCTCAGCAGATTCATGGGGCAGACAAGGTTGGAAGGCAGCTCTTGGGATTGTCTCATTCAAACCCCTGCTCGCGTTGGCTAGAGTAGGTTGCTCATGTTTGTGTCTAGTCAGGTTTTAACTGTCTCCGAGGATGGAGGTGTTGCAGCTTATCTAAACAACTTGTTTCAGTGTTCAACCATTGTCACAGTAAAAGAGTTTATATTCAGACAGTTTCCTATGCTACAGTTCATGCCCATAGTCTCTTATCTTGCCACTGGGTGGTGCCACTGAGAAAAAGCTGCTTCCCTCTACAATTTTTAATCAAGGTTCTTCAGGCTGGACAGTCCCAGCTCTCCTAGCCTCTTCACATGCACGGATTCCTTAATCATGTCTTTGGCCCTTGACTGGGTTTGCTCCATTAACTACATATCTTTATTGTATTGAAGAGCCCAGCACTGAACTCAGTGCTCCAGATGTTTGTCACCAGAGCTGAGTAAAGGGGAAGGATCACCACCTTCCATCTGCTGGCAGTGCTCTTCCTAATGAAGCCCAGGTACACTGATAGTTCATGGTCACCTTGCAGTCCACCAGGACCCCATGTTCTTCTCTGCAAAACTGCTTTCCAGCAGCTTCTCCAGACTGATCAATTGCAGCTCTTTTAGTCTCTCCTCACAGGACAGAAGCACCAGTCCCTTAATCATCTTTTTGGCTTTTTGCTATACCAGAAAGTTCATGTCTCCCTCTTAATGGGGGGACCAGAACTGGACACCATAGTCCAGATGTGGTCTCTCTGGTGCTGAGTAGGGGGGAAAGATCACCTCCCAGTGACAACACTCTGCCTGATGCTGGTGGTCTTCTTCATCATGAAGCTGTGTTACTGGCTAATGGTCAAGTTGGTGTCCATCAAGGACCCTCACACCCCATAACAGGTCCTTCTCTGCAGAGCTGCTTTCCAGTTGGTCAGCCCCAGTGTAGAGTGGTGAATGGTTTTATTCCTCCCCAAGTATAGGATTTCACAGTTCCTCCTGTTTAATCTCACAAGGTATCCCCTCTGCCCATTCCTCCAGCCTGTTGAGGTTCCTCTGAATGGCAGAGGAATATATGGCCATCTCTTCCGTCAGCCACTCCTCCCTGTGCCATGTCATCTGCAGACTGGCTGTGGGTGTCCTCTGCCCCTGTATCAGCCCCTGGGGTGCACCACTAGTGACTGGCCTCCAGCTGGACTTCATGCCAGCGATGATAATTTTCTGGATCTAGCTGTTCAGCTGACTTTCAGTTCATCTCACTGTCAGTTCATCTCACTTCCAGTACTTCACCAGCTTGTCTGCAAGAATGTTGTAAGAGATGGTGTCAACAGCCTTAGTAAAGTCGAGATAAAAAACTTTCACTCCTCTCTCCTCATCCACACAGCCAGTCATGACACTGTACAAAGCTATTATGTTGGTTAAGCATTTCTCCTTTGCTGACTGTTGCTGTTCACCTTGCTGTTCTTCACGTGCCTGGAAATGGTGTCTGGGATTAATTGTTCCATGACCTTCCCAGGAATCAAAATGAAACTGAAAGGCCTGGAGTCCCCTGGATTCTCCTTCTTGCCCTTCTTGAAGATAGGAATGACATTCACTGTCTTCCAGTCCTCAGGAGCCTCTAGGAAATGCCACGGCCTTTTAAAGATGATTAAGAATGGCTTTGCAATGAAAACAGCCCGCTCCCTCAGCACTCATTGGTGGATGCCATCAGTCCCATGGACTTGTGCATGTCTGGTCTATTTAGTGTTCCCTAACCTCAACTGAGGGTAAATCTTCCTTGCTCCAGACTTTATCTCTGGTCTCAGGGCTGAAGTACTCATGTCTCAGGGCCGAAGGCCAGACTTACCAGTAAAGACTGAGGTGAAGAAAGCATTGAATACCTTTACCTTCTCCATGTCATTTGTCAGCAAGTCTCTTAGCCCATCCAGCAGCAGGCCCACATTTTCCCTTCCTTTTGCTCATAATGTACTTTCAGAGGCCATTCTTGTTGCCCTTTACTACACTCAATTCCAGGCTGGCTTTGGCTTTCCTAACTCCATCCTTTTACACTAGTAGAAAATCAGCTTTGCTTGGTTGACTGTTTGCAGAATGTCACCTTGAAGTTAAAAGATTTTTTGAGTTAAAAGATTTTTTGAGCAATTTTGAGTGTTCCCAAACTGAGTCTCAGGAGTGTTTCTTCACATGCTGCTTAGTGCCAGCCCCATAAAAATGCAACTCGGTACTCCAGTATAGAGAAATGTCCAAAATTCTCTTCTGCCGTGTGATTTTTGTAGCTAGTAGCAGAGGTCAACTCATCTGCCAGCTTGGGCTTTTCTGAGGAAACATATTGGCTTGTAAGGTGTCAGCAATGACCTAGTGTCACTTTAGAGAGCCGTCATAGGGTGTTCCTGCTTTTCATGTCTTTTTGGCAAAAAAGACCAACTGCATCTTGGTGACCATCAGAAGAGCATTGCCAGCAGCTTTGGGGAGGTCCCCTGTTCACATCTGAATAGCTGTGTCCAGTTCTAGGCTCCTCACTACAGGAAGGATATGGATGTATTAATTCAAGTCCATTTAAGAGCCACTAAGACAGTTAAGGGAATGGAGCATCTGTCATGCCAGCCAAGACTGAGAGAGCTAGGACTTTTCATCCTTGAGATGGTTCAGGGGGATCTTATCCGTATGTATAAATGCCTAATGGTATATTTGTTACTGCTCCTATATAAAATCAGGAGAGGTGATGTGGTTTCATCCATCTTCATTTTGTCCCTTTTCCTAGGCAGCCTTATGAGGGTGAGGACACCATAACTCATAGATGAAAACCAGTTTACAGGAGTTAAGGCTTGTAGGGAGTGAGGGAGCAACAGTAAGACCACACAGTCAACTTTTCCAAATGTTCCCCTCCTGATTTCAGCTCATATATGCCTTGTTCTGTCCTTATTCATTGCTCTGCTGCACACTGCAGCTCTGGTGCTCACTGGCAGTATGGACGGATGCATGATTCTGACTGCTTGCATGAAAAATATGTCTCTCTTTTATTTCCTTCCAGCAAATCCCTTGGGTATTCTTATAGCAAACGTGTTGTCACCTGCACTAGTTCCTGAAGAAAAGCACATACCATTGATGGTAAATGAAAACTGCTTTAATCAGCCAGCTGGGCTGATTGGAGTCCAGCTGCTTTATCTTTTTGGAAGCATGGGGGCTGGAAATACTGGTAACATGTTTTTACTTTGTGTTGTATAGCTGGGTGTTTATGCCATCCCAGCAGTAACAGCGTGTGCTCTAGCAACTGTGGGGATTCAGGAGAAGGTTCCTCCAACACCTCCTTCAGCCAGTGCCACTAAGTCCACCTCCCAGCCATTCCTTACGGGTCTCAAAATGGTAAGTGCTGTAGCACAGAGAGAGATCAGTGCTGAAGTGGGAGATGCAGCCCTGCCAGACAGGGATATGCTGAGGATTCTGCTGGCAAGGCAGACTCTCAACTTCCCTTCACCAAACCCAACACAGAAAGACCCTTGAAGGAGACCAGAATCCATTCCTTCCTCCCTCAGAGAGTGGAAGCTGCTCACAGCAAAGCTGCAAGAGATGCTATCTGACCATTCTGTGGTGGGTTGGTTGCTGTTCGGCTAGCTCAGACAGGCACAAGTGAGCTCATCAAAGAGGACCAGACAACCTGAGCCTTCTGAGAAGATGTATTAAGAGCTAGGACAGCACATGGGAGAGTGAAGGAAGAATTTGGGCACTGAAGAGATCTTTCCTCCCTACATGGTCCCCATTTTAATGTCCTTTGGCTGAATTGACAGGAGAGAACCAAACTCCTTTAATAATCACAGAGTTGCCCTGTTAGCATTTACAACAGAGGGGACAGAACCACTGACTCTGAAGTCGACTGTCAAAGCCAGGCCTTTTTTTCTTCTCCAATGTTTAAATGATTCATTAACTCTTTTCTCTAGCTCCTGAGAAACAAGCCGTACATCATCCTGGCAGTGTGCTTTGGAGGAGGAATTGGGATGTTCACCTGCTTTTCAGCTCTGCTACAACAGATCCTTTGTGAAAAGGGGTATTCAAATGTGAGTCTTCTTCATTTCCTCCCCATTCTGTACATCATCTGTGATAGAACCAAAATGATTTTCCCTGTCAAAGGACTCAGAGCAAAATGAAGACTGTTCAGTATGCTGCACTGTCTCATATTTTATTTTCTCACATTATCTAATATAGATTAAGCAGTATATCAATCCAGAGCACCATCAATCTCTCAGCATAATGGATGATCTTCATTTTCATTACTGTACATGGCCAGGGTCCCATTTGAAAGTGAAAACCTTTTACTCCTCAAACACTTTTTTTTGGGACAGAGTATTGTGTTTTCTCTAAGCCACTCCACAGCACTCAGGTCTATGCAGTCTTCTGGCACTTCCTCAGAGTAGGATGAGGCCCAGGCAAGCCCTAAAGTGAAGCTGAAGGCTGGGCAATGCAAACACTTTTTCCTCTCTGCACAGTTTTACATGAAGCCAGAGCAGCATAGGAAGTCACAAGTAGTGTGACTTCTCTTTCCCCATTCTTCCCATGGTGACAGCCAGGTGCTGCTTTTACGGTTGAGCACAGTGTGTGCACAACTGGTTCCTCTTGCTCTCTCCCTGCAGTAGCATGGGGGTGCCCGGGTTCCTGCATTGCCCCTCAGGCAGGTGGCAGTTCAGTCCTGACCTGTATCCACATGGAGGTCCTTTTAAAACTCCTCTCTAGCTGTTGTGCCTGCACATCTACATGCCTCATCTCTGTCCATGCCCTCGCAACTCCCAGGTGTGATACCTGGCTTAATGCTTCACAGCCAGGTCTCATTTGCACACTCCACTGGATTTTAACTGGAAACCTTTTAAAATTTTCAGCCTTGCTTTCTGTGTATCACTTGTCCGTGTATGACTGGCTTGCCCTGGCTCTTTAGCCCACAGAAGCTATTCCAGATACCATTTCCTTCCAGTCTGCCCCTGAGGCTCCCAAATATGTTTACAGAAATTTGCTAGAGCTTCTCTGCTTTCAGGATTGATGTCTGCATTTTAATGCTTAAGGAGGTGAAAGGGTGCGATGAGTAAATATAGTCACTGCAGGCAACTGAGCATGTAGCCTCTCCTAACTACTGCTTATTGCCTCACTAATTAGACTTTCTTACTACAACCAGGCAATTCTTTCTCTCATCTAACACACTTTGGGGTTGCCAGCTTTGTGGAATACATTCTGCCAGTATACGTCCCTGGTCCCTGGAAAGAAAAGGGCCAGCAGCACGATTAAAATAGGAGCAGATCCCAAAGCAGTCAGACCTGTTGCCACCAACGTATACAAGCCACCTAATTGCCCCTGGAGGAGCCAAGAACAGTCTCATGCCCAGTCTGGAGCATTTAATGCCAGGGAACTGCTGTGCACCCAGCCTCCCTTGGGAGGTGTGCAGAGACTTGTGATCCATTGAGACTCTGGAAGTGCTGTGACCCTGCTGTCCCCACACACTTGTAGCACCTAGCCTACTTGGAGCCCTCGGGAGGCCCTCGCTATTGCAATAGGCAGGAAAGCTTTTCCTACCTCAGAAAGTGACCCACTAGCAGTAGGCAGGTGCATGAGTGACATTAAAATCTCTTTCCTAACTGCTCTCAGTTATTTGTTCTTCTGTCCTCCAGGAATTTGCTGGCATGAATGGTGCACTGTTCATAGTATGTGGTATGTTGGGTGCTTTACTGCTGGGCCTGTATGTCGACCGGACCCGGAAGTTCATAGAGTCCACCAAGATTTGTTTCTGCCTGAGTGCACTTGCCAGCATCATATTCGCAGTGGTGAGTTTTCCCTTGTATTGCATCATAACTGTGGACTTAGTTCTGGTGCCATCTGATAAATCATCAACTCAAACCAAGGTCATTTGATGTCATAGTAGTTACTAAGCCATGTGTTATGCTTTGGTATTATCTAGGCTAGGAATGTTTTAAAGAAAAGAAATTTTACTGAGGATATCACACTCGCTGTAAAGCCTGAGACAGACTGCTTCAGTCTTCCTTACATTGGGTCGCCATATTTGTTTACTGGCCCTGAGACCATTCTTTCCAAAAAGAAATGGAATTGCTAAATATCCATCTTACAAAAATGAACAAGAATACTATAGTTTTCCCACTACCTGCCTTTCAGAGTGGTGGCTGCCAGGAGTGTAAGATTAGCAGAAGGGATCTAGTTATGCTCTGCAGTGGTTCCTGGAGGAGGACAAGACTATAGAGGTGCAGAAAAGAGGAACGCTTGAATCCAACCTAGAGAGGAACACAAAACCTGGAGACTTTTCACCCACGGGGCTGGAGTGCTAGTACTGCACTCAAGCATAGTAATTGGCAATGGGAGCCATCACCCCATAGGAACCTGAGCACGAGGCACAAGACTTGTAGCACTGCAGAGGACCCAGACTTGTGCAGGTCTCTGCTTTCCCAACAGGTCTGTGCATTCCTCCCATGTGTGGAGAAATCCAGACTTTATCAGTACAGCGTGATCACACCTCTCCCTGGGTTAAGATACTAGTTTCACTTTGAAGAGCCAGACAAATGCAATGCCTTTATCAGTGTAGGACAAGGTGCCTAAACCAGACCTTGCATTTCCCTCTTTAATACTCCAGAATTTGGTGGCGGGATGTTTGAAGTACAAGCCAGTGTGCCTGAGCTCAGGTAAAGAACAGAGTAGGCAAGAAGCTGTCAGAAGCAATAAGCAAACCTTTCCTTCCCCACCTTCCCTCTGTCCCCTTCATCAAATACAGATGAACTACTGTTCAAAGTAGTAAAATGAAAAACACCCATTCAAATCTGCTTGATGCCTTGATGGTTTGAACTTGGATTCCAGACACACGAGTTTTCCTTTGCCAGTTCAGCTGGGCTAGGCCTGCTGCAGCCATACCCAGACAGATATCTCATGTTCCTCTGTGGGAATTTATTACATGCTTAAGGAAGAAGGTGTCAGCACTGTGGTTGCAGGATCTATGCTCTTGACTTTAGGAGCATTGGTTTGTGAATGTTTCTTCTGTGGTTTGGGGTTTTTTTTGGTGGTAAAATCCCAATGTTACAAACATGATTCTGACATGATAAGGAATAGTTTTCCTTATCACTGAACTGCAGCATCCCTGTGAATTCTTAGATGTAACCAATGCAGACACTACTTCTGAAATGTTAGCTTCCATTGGGAACAAGGTATGTGTTTCACTTGGTGCTGGAGATGATACACTGAATGCACTCCTGGTAAGTTATGGACCAGGAACTCAAGTCACAGTAATACGACCACAGTAATGCTTTTCAGGTAATTCTGCTGATGCTCTCTCCTCATGCTTAAATTCAACAGATAAAATCATCTAGCCATTTGTTGACTCTAAAAGGCTGGAGATAGAAGAGAGATTTCAGGAACAGGTTGAGAAAGTACTGATGAGAACAGTGAGCCCTTGGGACTTTCTTCAGGTTATGGATTCAAAGACTTTCTGCACATCAGGGCTGACACTGAGACTGGTGATGTTTTTCTGCCTGCAGACTTCTCGGTTCAGACATCAGGCTGTCACACTGGCCATCAGCAGCTCACTCTTTGGTTTCTTTGGTTTTGCCATCTACCCCGTCGCCATGGAGCTGGCTGTGGAGTGCTCCTACCCTGTGGGAGAGGGCACATCTACAGGCCTGATTTTTGTTGCGAGGTAAGCAGGCAGATTAAATACAATTGACAGCTGAGTTTGGGTTCAAACACACATACACAGCTGGGATGGACGCACATGGCCATGACAAGGGCGGAGCTCACTCGCCGAGCCCTAGAGCTGAACAGCTAAAGATTTTAAAACAAGGAGTAATATGTGGAATTGGTGCAAGAAATATGAAGGTCTGCCTTGCTTGGCAGAAAGTGGGATTTAACCATGCTCAGCATCACCTACCTTTGAAGAAGATGGGGGCTGTGTGCCTGAGAGTGTGCCATTCCCATGGCAGTACAGGTACTTGTCAGGACTCCGTGCTCTGCTGAGGAGAATGGGGCTCATCACTCACAGTGCAGCTGGTCACAACAAATGGGTCCCATGATCAATTCACATGCCTGGGGCTGGCAGTGCACTGCAGCAG